CCAGAGTCTTCTGGAATTTAAATTTATTAAAAACCGCAAAAGAAGAGAACGGGAGGGGGGCTCCTCTTGTGTCCCAAAATGCGACCCCTCCTCCCGCCAAATCCCAAAGGGGAGGGCGGGGGGGGCGGGTCCTACAGCGCGGGGGGGCGTGGCGCGGCGGCTAATCGCCAATCAGCCGTCCCTTCTCAGAAAAAAAAAAAAAAAAAGCCCCGGATGCGGAAGTGCCGCGAAGGGACCACGTGGGCGGTGGGCAGGATGGAGAGCGACCAGCGGCGCTTCGACTCCGGCGATCTGCCGTCTCTGCGCCGGATCGTGTGCGAGCAAGGGCCCATCTCCCGTCCCGACGGCTCCGTCTCTTGGATGCAGGGTGCGCAGATGCTCCTTCCCAGCTGCTCCTCCCTCCCACCTCTTGATCTCTTCGTGGTGTTCTTTCCGGGATTTTTTTTCCCCTGGGGTGAATGGGGAAATCACCCCCTAGGATATGGACTCCCAAGTCCCATTCTCGCACGTCTGTGCGGGTCAGGCAAGGATGGGAACCGAGCTAAGGGCATCGCGAGCTTTCCTGGAATAATTCCTTTAATTCCAGAGGAAAAAATATATATGTAGGATTCAATTCCTCCTCTGGGGTAGGGGGCACCAGTGGTGTTCAGAGGCATGCAGGGCCGTCAACTACGACAACTACTCACAGGAATAAAAAATGTAAACGCTCGATAGAGTTAAACGTATATTTATTTTATTAGCACTTCCAACAAATAAATAGGCAATAAATATGTTGTTGTATTTATGTGACACAAGGTGCATTTGAAGGGTTAACATACACAGATTAGTACGGGGCGTGCACTCTCCCATTTATTCGTACTCATTTATTATGTATATACTTATACCTGTTTATACCTTTTTCCCCCTTATATTATTTATTTTTTTAAAAGCTCAACATTATAAATATATTACCCTCAGCCAGCTTCCGTTGTGTGCATAAACCTATGGGCGTAAAAAAAAATTACAACACTGGATTTAGATTTGACTGGCATAATATCCCTTCTCTTTCCCTAATCCTGGCTGACTGTAATTTCCATAACTATCTTATGCAGTCATTTTGGATGAAGCAATACCCTTCTAAGAATTAAAACAGAAATGCTTTGCGGAAAAAAAGGTACCTTAGTAGCGGAACATTGTGGGACAAATTTTCCCGCAAGCTTCCACCCCATGGCAGCGCCCCCAAAGGGAGGGCAGGAGGCAGGGTGTCTTCCCCTGCGCGTGGCCTGGTCAACTAAAGCCACGGAAGGCTGGAGACCTTTTGCCGAAAGCGATGGGTGCTCGACCATCCCAGCAGTGGCCTAGGTGGGGGGCAGGATTGCCAGTTACAGCAAAACTTCCCCTGGAGTAACTGTTTATACTTACATGCTTATATGTTATGTTCATACTTATACTTATACTTATTTATTTATTTATTTGATTTGCCAATTGTTTACAAGATAATAAGTATAAGTGTATACATAGTTGTGAATACATGAAATGGGTACATATAAGAAAAATAAAAGAATAAGAGAAACAATAGGACAGGGACGGTAGGCACGTTGGTGCGCTTATGCACGCCCCCTACAGACCTCTTAGGAAAGGGGTGAGGTCAATAGTAGACAGTCTAAGGTTAAAGTTTTTGGGGTTTGGGGAAGAAACTACAGAGTCGGGTAGGACAGGTAGGACATTGCAATGTATGATTTTATATACCATGCTTAAATCAGACCGAAGACGGCGTAATTCAAGGTTTTCTAGTTCTAGAATTTCAAGTCTGGTGGCATAAGGTATTCTACAACGAGTAGAGGAGTGGAGAACTCTTCTTGTGAAATATTTCTGGACTTTCTCAATTGTGCTAATATCAGATACGTAATGTGGGTCCCAGACTGATGAACTGTATTCGAGTATTGGTCTAGCAAATGTTTTGTATGCTCTGGTTAGTAGTGTGATATTACCAGAGAAAAAGCTACGTAGGATTAGGTTAACAACTCTTAATGCCTTTTTGGCTATGTAGTTGCAGTGGGCTCTAGCACTTAGATCATTAGAGGTGAGTATTCCAAGGTCCTTTACAGAGCTTGGGTCATCAACTTGTTTCTCAGACATGCTTGACAAACTAAACCAACTAAATAAATAAATAGTATGGGGGGGGGGCCATCAGGCCCATGTGTTAAGACAGCCCTGGAGGCATGTTGGGGTTAGGTAGGTGTCGTGGCTGATTTCTGGAATTCAACAAAGATGGTTTTAAACCAGGGCTCTCCATCCTTGGCTACTTTGAAGACTTGTGGACTTCCACTCCTAGAATCTCCTAGCCAGCATAGTCCACAAGTCTTAAAAGTGGCCAAAGTTGGAGGCTCCCCTGGTTTAAAACCATTTTTCCCCCTCAAATGTGACCGTTTAAGGATGTGTGGACTTCAACTCCCAGAGTTTATTAGGATTGCCAAAGTTGTCTTTTGGATAACGGTCCCCAACGTGCTTTTGTTTCCAAGAGGCAACTGGAGTTTCTTTCTGGTTTTCCTTTGAAGACGTTTCGCTTCTCATCTGAGAAGCTTCTTCAGCTCTGAATAGTGGGGAGCGGAAAGGTTCGCATGCAAGAAGCGGAAGTTTCTTGGACGAGGAGCGAAACGCCTTCCAAGAAAACTGTCACGCTGTCTACCGTGGACCTCACCCCATTCCTCAGAGGTCCTTAAAGGGGGTGTGCATAAGTGCACCAGCATGCCTACCGTGCCTTGTCTTACTGTCCCCGTTTATCTGTATTTACTTCCTTTGTTTATGTTCATACTTACACTTTTATATTGACAAACAAATAAAATTAAAAGAAAAATCAAAAGAAACTCCAGCTGCCTCTTACACACACACACAAAAAGCACCTTTGGGACAACCATGACTTGAGAATCTCCAAAGTCCTTTGGATAACTGTTTTGCTACATCCCTCTGCCCCAATTATTAGCAATTCATCTTTGTGCTGCAGGCCAATCTCCCAACCCAAAAGGGAGATTTAAGAGGAGATAATTTTCTGTAATTCTATTCATTTTCTATAATTCAACTGAAGTAGCATGCTTAGAGCCTTCCTTTTTTTTTTTAATTATTTTCAGGGGATACCTCTGTGTTAGTTGGGGTGTATGGACCCACAGAAGTGAAGGTCAGCAAGGAAATCTACGATAAAGCAACTCTGGAGGTGCTGCTAAGGCCAAAAGTGGGCCTGCCAGGTGAGGGGACCCTGTGTTAGAGATCCCCCTGAGAGGTTTTTTTTTGTCTGCTGATGCTGGTGGTACAATATGTATGTATTATATATTATATATTATATATAATATATTTTATATTATATATATTATGCATATTGTGTATATATATAAGTATATATTATCACAGTATGTATGTACGTAATGTATTATGTATGTAATGTACATATGTATGTATGTGTATCCCTGCCTTTATTACTTTTACAAATAACTTAAGGTGACAAACATATCCAACACGCCTTCCTCCTGTTTTCTCCACAACAACCTTGTGAGGAGGGTTGGGCTGAGAGAGAGAAAGTGATTGACTCAAAGTCACCCAGTGGGCTTTCATGCCCAAGGTGGGACTAGAACTCACCGTCTCCTGGTGATTGTCCCAAAATCACCCATTGGGCTTTCATGTCTAAGGAGGAACTAGAACTCACTGTCTCCTGGTGATTGGCCCAAAATCACCCAGTGGGCTTTCGTGTCTAAGGAGGAACTAGAACTCACCGTCTCCTGGTGATTGGCCCAAAGTCACCCAGTGGGCTTTCGTGTCTAAGGAGGAAGGGCTGCCAAGGCGATTATCCGAGGCATTTAAGGAATTCACTGCTTTTCCCCCACTCCCTTTCCGCTAGCAACTAAAAAGACCAAAGGAGTATTTTTTTAGTTGACAATAGTTAGCCCTCAACTTAGGACCACAATTACAGATTGACACAGTTGGAAGGGACCTTTGAGATCATCTAGTCCAACCCCCTGCCCAAGCAGACCCTACACCATTTCTGACAGATAGGCAGTCCAGTCTCTTCTTGAAAGCCTCCAGGGGTGAAGCTCCCACAACTTCCGAGGGCAACTTCTGTTCCATGGGTGGATTGTTCTCCCTGTCAGAAAGTTTCTCCTTATTTCCAGGTTGAATCTCTCCTTGAGATTTGACCATTGTTTCCGTTGCTAAGCGAGACAGCGGTGAAGTGAATCTTAACACACACACACATCCCTTTTGCAGGGGTCTACGAAAAAAGCCGAGAACAGATGATCAAAAAGACTTGTGAGGCGGTGATTTTGGGCAACCTGCATCCCCGGTCCTCTATTACGGTTGTTCTCCAGGTGATTACAGATGCTGGATCTGTATCTTTTTTTAAAAAAAAAAATGTGTTGTGGTTCACCGGCAGCCGGTACAGATGGCAGCGGAATCGGACAGGGGGGAAGAACGGGGACCAGTCAGGGAGTCTGGGGAGGACTCGGACGAGGGTCCTGTGTCCAGTGCAAGGATGGGGCCAGGAGCATCTGGGAGTGGGGTGCTGCCTTCGGAGTCTGGTGGCAGCGAGGCAGAGGAACAAGGGGAGCCTGTTCCCAGCGCATGTTGTTGTTGGTTTTGTGCAATCGTTGTTAAGGGAATCCTGGATTCCTTAAGTGAATTGTGTGGCCATTAAGAGAATCATGTGGCCATTGAGTGAATCATGTGACTTAAGGGAATCATACGGTCATTAAGTGAATTGTGTGGCTGTTAAATGAATCATGCAGTCATTAAGTGAATGGTTTCCACCCCACCCCCCCAATACAGGGGTGGGATTCAAATTTTTTAAAAACAACCGGTTCTGTGGGCGTGGCTTAGTTGGTGGGCATGGCTTGGTGGTCATGTGACCGGGTGGACATGGCTTGGTGGTCATGTTATTGGCCAACTCAGTATCACTCACATCGAGGCATGCATCTCCTCGCCTGGCCTCTCATGACTGTGGGGATGCTGCAACAGTCGTAAGTGTGAAAAACGGTCATAAGTCACTTTTTTCAGTGCCATTGTAACTTTGAATGGTCACTCCACACAAGCAAAGTACCAGCAAAGGAGGGGGAAAAAAACTCCAGAGATGTTCCTGAGACAGGAAGTCTAGTCCTGCCAAGAATGTAATAAGGGTTAACGGAGAGGCAGTTTCTGTAAGCAACACCAGAATGTTTCCTTCCTGCCTTCCTTACAGGATTAGGCCAGTAATTTCTTCTAGCAACCGGTTCTCTGAACTGCTTAGAATGCTAATAACCGGCTCTAGCGAATAGGTGCGAACTGGTAGAATCCCACCCCTGCCCCAATGGCTTTCCTTTGTCAGAATCCAGCTGGGAAGGTCGCAAAAGACGACCATATGACCCCAGGATGCCACAGCTGTTAATTGATAAACTTGCCGGTTGCCAAGCAACCCAAATTTTGGTTGTGTGACTGAAAATAGGGGATGATTGTCAGGGACCGGACATAAGCCCCTTTTATCAGTGGTCGCTAAACGGACAGTCACTTGAAGACTTACCTGTATGGAGAACATTTATTATTAAAATATATACGCCGCCCGATTCCCGGTGATTCTGGCTAGCTGGGAATTGCAGATCTGGCTGGTTTATCCATTCCTGCTTCTTTGTCTGCTGCACCTGTTGGATCGTTCTTGTTTTCCTTGAATCTAAACCCGTTAAAAAGCTGCTCTCCAGCTGTTTGAACGCCGCCTGTGTGGGGTTGGTGGACGCAGGACTGCCCATGAGCTCCCTCTTCTGTGGAGTGACCTGCGCCTTGGACGTCGATGGGAACATCCTCCTAGACCCCACCGCCAAGCAAGAAAAGGTGGGGAATCCGCGTTCATTCCGGCCTGGATCAACGCCGTTGGTCTTTTGGTGGCAGGGAGTGCCAAAGGCCCCACGGGGCCCTGGGTTGGAGCAGGCAGGGAGGCAAGGTGTGCAAATTTGGCAATTCCCTCTTTCCCTCTGCCTCTCCCTCCCTTTCCCCCTCCATCTTTCTCTCCCCCCTTTCCATCTCTATCTCTTTCCCTTTCTTTCCTTCTGTCTCTTCCTCCCTTTTTCTTTCTCCCTCACTCTCTTCTTTTTCTCTCTCCCTTTCTCCCTTTCTTTTCCTCTCTCTCCCTCCCTTTTCCCTCTCTCTCCCTTTCTCTCACTCTCATTCTCTTTCCATCTCTCTCTCCCTCCCTTTCCCTCTGTCTCTATCTTTCCCTGTCTTTCTCCCTCTTTCCCTCTGTCTCCCTGTCCTTTTCTCCCTCTCCCTCCCTCTCCTCTCTCTCTCTCACTTTCTCCCTCTGTTTCCTTCTGTTTCTTCCTCCCTTTTTCTTTCTCCCTCACTCTCCCTTCTCTCCCTCTCTCTTTCCCTCTGTCTCTCCTTCCCTTTTTTCCCCTCCCTCCCTCTCCTCTTTCTCTCCCTCTCTCTTTCCCTCCATCTCCCTTTCTCCTTCCCTCTCTCAGGAAAAGGCCAGGGGATTCTGGAAGCTGAACTCCACCCATCTTAAAATGGCCGAGGTGGAGAAACACGGCCTTAGACAGTCTACGAATTTGGACTATCTGTTTTAACTAACCCAGCTTCCTTCTTTCCATAATTCAACCAGACAAGGAATGCCAAATCACGTTTTATTGACTTGCATTATTTACATCCCATGCTCCCTAAGTTTCTCTTATAAAGGGGGCTGGAAAATCTAATTATTATTTTTTTAAAAAACAGATTCCCTGCAAAACGTTAAAGCTTGCATCATTCTATGCTTCAACGGGAAAATAGCAATCCTTAGCCAAATCTACTTTAATCCGCTTACTTCAAAAAGGAGAAGTTTGAACATGAAAACAAAATTGGATTTGCTGAGTCTAGCTGAACTCAAAGCCCAATCTCAACCCCTAACTCTTAACACCTCTGTGGATTTCCCCATGTGGTTTACAAGGAAGTGTATTGTGTGTGGGGGGGCTTGAAAAGTCACCCCCCCCTCCTAACCATACCAAGGGGCTACAAATCTCTTGGCGAACTCCAGTTTGCCCTCCAAATTCAAGGGGACCCAACCAGGGGTGGGCTTCAAATTTTTTTAGCAAGGGGCCCTCTGCCCTAATGATTGGCTGGGTAGGCGTGGCTGGGTGGTCATGTGGCTGGGTGGGTGTGGCCAACTCGACGTAGCTTCTTTGCCCTAATTACCTAAAAAAAAAAGATAATATATCAAAAAGTTGTTTATTAATACTTAAATAAAAGACTGGGTGAAACCAGGTTTAATAGCAGTGACTGTGAGAGGGATCTTGGGAGTCTTTGTGGAGTTTCTGAGGGGTTACTTGATTCTTATTATTTGGGAATTAATCCCCTTGGAGGCTGATGGATAGGTTATCTGATTTTCTCAATGGCTCTCCCTCGGCAAGCACTTTATCTAGCTTGCCACACTTTTACCAGGTGTGAAGTGCTCTTGGCTGAATGCCCAGAAGTTCAGTTAAGCCTATTAAGAGCTTTCCCTTGCTGCTTGTCTTTCTGAGGTGATTGGGGGCTCTCCAAACCCCGCAGAGTCTTAGCTAGGGGCCACCCCTGGACCCAACCCTAATTATTTTACCTGCATTTTCCCCTCTTCCCAAGTTTCCTGAGAATTAGGGGTGTTGTTTGCAGGTCAGGGTTAGGTGGGCCGGTTCTGATTTGTATCATAATTAAGACTTCCTTTGGCATCTGGGAACACCGTGTTCTTCCTTTCTGCAGGATGCCCCTGCGGTGTTGACCTTCGCCATCGATAGCGTGGAGAAGAAAATCCTACTCTCCACCATGAAGGGGACGTGTTCCGAAGAACAGGTAAGGGTGACAGCCGATGGGAATGGCCTCTCCGAATCTGGACTTGAACCCTTGTTTGTCTGGGGGGTGGGTGGGTTGAACATTTTGTTTTCAAAGTCTCTTTTGTCTCCTGTGTCAGGATTCCGGCAGTTACCCCCAATTAAATCATGAGTCTCGAGCCAAACTTCCAAAACTTCAAAAGGATTTATTGGGAGTTAACATGGCCGGCACTGCCTGGGTGCAGCCAACTCTGAGACACATCATTCCTTGTCACCCTTGACCCTGGTTTCCCCCCACCCCTCTGGGTGTATCGTAATTCATATTCTCCAATGGGACACATCCATAGCCCAGAGTCATCAGTCATGTTCTCCAGTTAGAATTTTGCCCGGCAGAAACTTCAGTCACCTAGTTACTATCTTTGAAAAACTATTTATGGAATGCGCTTTCGCTTTCCAAGCTGCCGCTCTGCTCTTTCAAACTCATTCCCCGCCCCCTTTCTGTTGGCAACTCTAACAGGACCATAGAAATATTTTATGAGTTGGCATCCTTGCAAATTTCTGGTCAGTGTGACTAGGAGTTAGCTCTGCAAGGTAGTCCAGTCAAGGACACTCTGTTCTAACCAAGGCTTCCCAAGACCGTTATTAAGCACATGCTTTGTTAAAACAACTCTTGTTTTATTTCCACGCTGGGAATTATTTTCACTCCCAGCAGGTAATGAGTCCCAAACAGTCCCTCGAGATAAGCACCCACCTTTCTCTCCTTTGAATTGCTGCCAACAACTAGAGGGCCAAATGTGATGACCCAGGGTGGGATTACAAAATAAACACATGGTTTATATTCCGATGCTTGATGGCTGACTCACATTTATGACCGTGGCTGTGTCCCGGGGTCACGGCATCCCCTTTCGCAACCTTCTGACAAGCCCACTATTGCTGTTGCTAAGCGAGACATTTGTCCCGCGAGTTTCGCCCCATCTTACGACCTTTCTTGCCGCTGTCGTTAAGTGAGTCACATGGTTAAGTGAATCCATTGAGTTGGCTCGTCAAAAGGTCACCATAGGGGAAAATCACGTGACTTCTGGGACACTGCAACCGTCATAACTGTGAGTCGGTTGCCCCAGCGTTTGGATTTCAATCCCGTGACCATGGTGGGGGGGGGGTCGCGTCGCAACGGTCGTAAGGGTGAAAAAAATGGTCATAAGTCACATTTTTGAGTGCCGTGGTCACATCGAATGGCGTGTGTTTGTGAGGAAACTCGACCCTTCAGTTGCTGAGGGATACGGAGCTGGGAAACTATAAAATCAAAATGAGGAAAATCTCTGGGCAGATCTAAAAAATGAAAAAAAAAAAAGTCAAATTGAACCCACAAGGCCCCAAGACGTGTTGCAATTTATTTATTTTTTAATGAGGATTTAAATGAAACCCAACCAAAAGGCTGGGTTTTTGTATACCACGGGGAATTGTGAATGGATTTCCCTCCATAATCCTTTGCTCCAACCGTTCCAACCGCTTAGAAGCAGCTTCCCATGAGGAAACAGGCCAAAATACATTCAATAATATTAATAATTAGCTTCGCTATGAAACTATGTGGTCGGGCTTAGTTTTTGGGGAGGAAAATAAGGAGGGGAAAATTCTGCCTCCGCCTACCAGCATCCATCGGTATTCTTCTGGCTAGCGTCCTGTCAGTGTGTGAGAGAGTTGAGGGCTGTTTGGAAACTGAAACAGCATTTGCTCTGTGAGCAAGAAGGAGACAGCAAAGAGCCTGGGCGTGGCTTAGCTCAACTGTTCTGTACTAAAGCTGCTTGGTGCTCTGAAACTGAAACTCCTCTGCTT